TGGCCACGCTCGAGTCATTCAATGGCCTTTTTGGGGTGAGGGGCCCAAAACTGAACCCACTCATCGAGGGGCGGCCTCACCAGTGCCGAGCCCAGGGGTAAGGTCCCTTCCCTGTCCCTGCTGGCCATTGTTTCAGGAATAATGGCTGGGTTCAGGGCTGGCCCCGGAGCTTCCCAAGGCTGGAAACATGCCTCCTGCCACTGTGCTGAGCCGCACCTACCTCTCAACCACCCACAGCAACCACGCAGCACTAGAAAAGTTTTTATCCTACTACATAACTGTAAATTTGGTAATGACTAGGGTACAAAATCAGGTCAATGTGTGCCAGCTGGCTGCAGGGAAGATTACAGAGAATAAAAACAGAAAGGGGGAAGTAACAGCAGCAGAAGGGAGTACAGTCAAGCCGGGCAGAACCATCTCACCTTGTATCACAGTGTTACAACCAGTATCGACCAGCGACCTCCACCTGCCCCTGGTATTAGCCAAGCAGGAGGCAGCCACACCAAAGAAGCCCTATCCCAAGGGAAGTCCCTAATAAAGTCCCCAAACCAGCAACTGCCCAAGCTTCCCCCCAAGGCCGTATGTGCTTCTCACCCTCCCTTTGTAGCAGTTCTACCTATGGTTTTTGGATCAAAATGAAAGACCAAAATGTAAGTGCTCTCACCTTCCACAGGAGCGTAACATTCTTCTGCCTCCTTGCCGGATCTTCCACAATTATTCTCCAAAATTCAGGGCCTTGTAAGGGAGCTGCAAGTTTACAGAGTTTTGAAAGAACAGTGTCAAATCTTGGTCTGGAACTGGATAGACCATCAAAGCACCCTCCAAAAGTGCACGTACCTCTGATATCTTTCACCAGTGTATAGGCTGATCTGCTCCAGTTGCTCCAGTAACCCCACCCATCCAGCTCACGGCACCGGACCTGCACAACGTACTCAACACAAAGTTTCTCAACTTTTATCACAGCTGATCTTGTTGGTGCTTTTGAAACTTCATAAAGCTGTAAGAGAAGACAAAATATTTACAGTAAGAACAAAAGGCTGATAGAGTCCAAACCCCTGAGAATTAATCCAATGAGAAAGCGGCCTAATCAGTAATATTCCTTTGCTAGATAATGCAAATGCTTATAACTGTGATTCACTGCGTGCCACAAATTCCACAAAACTCAGCTAACCCACCGAACTGCAACAATTCACGCTTCAATCTAGATGACAAAAGACAGTACCTCCCATGCGATCTCCTTCCTGTTCACAGCATACCGAATCTGGAATTTAAGATCATTGTTTGTAAATAGTGGGTCTGTCCAGCTCACATTCAGCAGCCCAACATTCCTGGTGATTTCTGCTTTAACGTTGGACGGAGGAAGCGGCTTCACTAGAAAATTGAAAGAAAAAAAAAATTATTATGCCTGCACTGACATTTCTCACTAAATCCAACCATCGTGGTTTACTTTCTTCGCTCCCGAGGGTGGCAGGCACACCATGGCCTCTGCTATTCCAAGGAACGCCAGGCTGTAACACAAACGTAACAATCACCAATCCAGTCCAGCCCCGTCGCTGCGGACAAAAGCATTGCTGACTGAGAAAGGCAACGTTTGTCTAAAGGGAAATTCATTCTGATTCTGGTCCAACCTAAAATCACCAGAGAAAATCTTAAGTTGAAATGTCAAAACCAAAGTTTCTTACAGAATACAGATTTTATTTTTAAAAAATTTAAATAAATCCATGGGGAAGTTTCCGTACATTTCATTTTAATTTAAACCACAATAGTTTCTAATTGCTTCCAGCACCTGGCACCTCCCCTGGTCCCAAGGGCCTGGCAGTGATGGGCTGCAGCCCTGCGGAAAGCAGCACACACACAGCGCAGCCATGCAGCTCCTGGGAAGGATGGTGACAGACTAAGGATTAGTGGAAATATTAGTTAAGTTTTTGTTTTACTAAGAGGAAATTCCAATGAAATTGAGCTTCTCCAGCAGACTGAACACGACTGCCACAAAGCCCTAGTTTGTTAACAAAGCATAGTTAGAATAAACTTGTTTTGACTAATTAGATGGTGAATGAGGAGAAAACAACAAGAAAATTAAATAAGCTTTAAATTCTGGGTGGGTTAGAACGAGCATGTTATGGTTTACTATGATACAGAGCAGCTGTCATCCAGCGTAGGAAAATTTTATTAATTGCTTTTTATTTAAAGTGGTGATTCAAATAAACCAGACTTGTAAAGTTCTGCTAGAACTCCTCGGTGGGCAGCACTGCATAAAGCTGGCACCCCTGCCCAGCAGAGCAGGGCCAAGGGCCGCAGCCGCCGTGTGACGAGGTGCCAGGCCCTGCTGGCAAACTGCCGAAGCACAGACACCCACCAGCCCTCCCACCACCCTCCTCGCCCACACCCAACAGTTCTCTCATCGTCTGTGAACTTGCTTGTCAAAAGTGCACAAAAACTCCTTTTTGAACAAGACAGGGGCAACCTTGGAAACCACCAAATTAACAGTAAGAATAATTCCCATACCCCACTTGGATGTGATGCGCTGAACTTTGCCTTTCCTTCCCGTGACATTCACTTTTGCTTACTCTATTTAAAATTTGAAATGCAAAGAATAGTTTGGTTTTAATTTACATTCTCCATATGCGTGCTTCCCCCACCCAGAATAGATGTATTTAATTACACTGCTTCATCTCCTGTAGCGCCTCTGTGGTCGAGCTGCCATGTTTTCCCTCTACATATGTTCACATTTGTGTCCAAAAATCACAGAGTCCAGTGAATGCTCTGAGTCACAGACCAGATAATGAGATGTGCTTTGGACATTTCGCAGTGTCTGAAAACACTCAAGACACTGTTCCTGCCTCTTGGTTTTATACAAATTTAAGGGATCTGCTGTCACAAAAGAAGCTTTGCAAAAGCATGCAAGGGCATGAACAGTCCCTGTGGTTTTAAACAAATACATAACTGTGTAAGTAATACACTGGATCAGAGTATAAACTTAACAACTAACTGAAGACTTGAGAAAAATCAGAGAACCTTAAAAATGAGGCTGCCTTTTTGAATGTAATACTTGCATTTTCTGCAGGTGTCTTTGCAAAACACCCAAGAGGATAAACATGCAAAACTGGATGTTTCACTTTAGAGGTATTAGCTGCAGTTACAATCTGCTCCTGTGCTGAGCAAAATGTATGGAAATAACATTTAATCCAACCTCTTTCAGAAGGCAGTATCAAAGCTCTTAGGTTTCTATGTTCTTTCCATAATCTAATTTATTTAAAATGCTGTGAAGAAGTACTTTACCTACACCGTATAAGGAATGAAATCCAAGGTCACAAGTGAAGAAAGACGTGCACGAATCTCAACCTACCCACATCTGCTGGAACGACACAAGTTGGTGAAGACTCCAGAGTTCCTAGTAAGTGTTTAAACTCTATCCACATGGTATATCCGGATAAAAGAAAAATCGGCTGAAATGTGCATTCGTAGGAATGATTCTTCTGTAAATGGCATTCTTTCACCTCTGATTTTGGAGAAGTACTTGGAAAGTCAGAACAATAAATTCTGCTCCTTAAAAGAGAGAAAACAGCACTTAATTAATAAATGTCAACTAGAAGCTGCTCATGGCATCAGTAAAATAGAACTCTGAAAGCAATTAAAACAAATGGTGTCACTGGAACCATCTGGGGTTTTCTGATTATTATTTGGACAGATCTTGAACTTGCATCTGCACTAAATGGATAAATAACACTGCAGCGTTAATCCTCAAAGCTTTGGCTCTTAGTCTGAAGAAAATAGGACGTGGAAGCTCTCCCCAGTGTAAAATCTTTTGGTATGAGGCTAACAACAGGAAGAAATGGGTATGACAAGAGCAGGCATCTCCAAATACTCATAAACCATGTAACTTGAGTGGTATGTATGAGCAACAAGCATAGCAAGGCAGACCTCCAGCCAAGAATAGGCCTTTTCAAATACCAGCTGCCATCCAGGGGGAAGCTGCCCCACAGACCCATCAGACGTGCATAGTGAAGTCTCCAGGGGATGGAAATCCCCTAAAAATATCCATTTGGGAGGGTGGCATTAAAATCCCCCATACAGTCCATAACGCATCTGGCAACAGAAGAGAGGAGACCCGGACTCTGGATAAAATGGCACCGGACATCTTATCAGCGATGGAAAGGAAAGTTTTCACATTTCTCCTGATTTCTCCTAAGCTTGTGCAGGGCTCAGCTGTGTGGTGAGCGTGGCCAGATCGGGTATTAGTTACTCAGCTGAACCGCAAAGGTTACACTTAGCTGAATCTCTCCTCTTCCCGCCGGCATAGCCAACACTGATTAAACTGGTGCCTTGTGCTTTGAAGGTTTAGCTCAGCGTTCTCTGCTTTCGCTGGATGATCATTTCTGCACTGTTTCTGTTGGCAGCACTGACTGTAGAGGAAGAGTAGTAACAACCCAACGAAAACAAAACACCAGCAGCAAAGCTATCACACCACATTACTGTAAGCCCTGGATTTCATCTGTAAAATGTCACTGCAGCAGTAACTAAGAGGAATAGCTGTGTGCTCCTGGAAAACCTGACGTGTCTCATGTGGATGCAACACATCTGACTTCCAACTTGCATCATGAAGACGTGCCCACGTCGAAGCAAACGCTACCAACCCCAGTGTATTTATGGTGCCTCTTACAATCGAGCTTGGGCAATGAAAAAACCTGATCATCTCATTTGGTTTCAAGCTTGTAAACGTTCAAATTCTTTTTGTGTTTTTGCTCCCAGCGAGCAATAGAATGTTATGCAAATGATACTGGTGTTTTCATAACTACAATTTTTTTAAGTCTTCAACTTTTTGGGAGTCGCTACATTCATGTGGTCCCCCATGATTTTTTTTTTTTTTTTTTTTAAATTTTTCCTCTTTCAGATCTTGCTATTAACAAACCAAAAAAAAAAAAAAAAGAGAACAAAAAGAAAGATCGCCATAAATACAGCATCTGGGAAGCATTTTCAGTCTGTATTCACATGCGCTGCTCTAGCAGGAACACTGTAAGAAATGTACAGTTTATCAGTTTATATCAGAACACAAGACCCTTAGCTAAACCTGAACAGTGAAAAAGTGGGAACAGTAAACATGGCAAGAGCAGCACAGTTTTTATTTCAAGCTCTCTGCTCAGCAGGACACTCATTATATTCCCATTGTGAAGACAGTCAAAACAAAACCTACCTTAGCAGTCAGCTAGTCATTAATCCTACCCTAAAAGCCTCCCTCCGCTTGAAATCTCAAGCATTCCAGTTATTACTTTAGTCCACAGACTCCTGAGAAATATTCACCTTGGTACTATGAAAGTTCAAAACTTCAATCCACCTCCAACAGAGGAGACAGTCCAGCTTTCCAAAGGATTAGGCCCTCAGGGCCAATTTAAGCTTGTTTGCCAAAACTTCTGAATATCCAGTCCAGCAGAGCAGTAAAAGTAAAGAATTCTTCCTCAGGAAGGGCTGTCTGTCTGTCTATCTTGTTTATGTAAAGACTAACATGGTTCTAGGAAACTCCAAAGCTCAACAGATTAATAACTCAAAGGGATTTTTCAGTTTTGTGGTAAAACATTACTGTAACAGGCAATGTTTGTGCACATGAAGGAAGATAAGGATGATCCTACCACTGATTTAATAACCAGGTTTGTATTTTGCAGACAACAATGTGTTTGCTCCACACCACACCCCAGTTCTCCTGCTCCATCCAAAGACAGACAAAATTAAACCAACTATCTGAAAACAAGTTAGGCCAAAACCAAAACCATGAAAACTAAGAGTTGCTCTCTACCTTCATAAGGCAATATTCATTTTATGAGCTAAAATCTGATTCTCTCTTTACAAGCAAGAATTTTTCTATCTGGAATAAATTCAATTCCAGCCCTGTATTTTTATCTACTGTCTGTATATAGAAAAAAAGATACAGAATTATAGAAAAATCGAATATTGAATGGAGACCTGAAGAGGACCCACATCCTACCTCCATCTCAAAGCAGGGTTAAATTCAAAGCCAGACGAAGCTGCCCAGGATCTGTCCAGTCGAGATCTGAAAGTCTCCAAGGACAGAGATTCTACAGCTCCTCTGGGCCACTGCTCCGTCACTCTCACTGTGAATGGGTTTTTTCCTTATTTCCTTACAATTTTCAGACACAAGCAACTAGAAGAATAATTTTTTTAACTGACAAAAGCAAACACATCTACTTTAAGGTGACCAAACAGCATCTACAGGCTTTACAAACACTGGAAAACATCAAAAATAGAATGCACGTTACATACTCGAGTATCTATGGTTCCCTTTCTGCACATGTGGTTAATACCTCTGGAGTTCCAGCTGGGAAAAAGTCCAGCTTGCAGAAACCGAGCACATTTTATAATCACATCTATTCAGCATGATTTGTGTAACTCCAGGACAAAGCTTTTCAAACATAAAGAGTGAGTTAAAAGCTATACCTACCTGTGGTATCTTAACTGCAAGGAACTCCCCAGGAGCAAAGTGTTCGGGTTCACAGCCCATCTGCAAGTCATTTTAGTTAAGTATCCATCCGTTTCACACGTGATGTTGATATTCACATCTAATTAAAACACGTTGAAACTTTATTAATAAAGATATAATTGTTTATACAAAGAAAATGCATTACAAGTCATAACTGCTCAATAAAAGCTAACTGGAGGTTAAAATTGAAATATTCTGACCTCACTAAATTAAAATGCACCAAAATTATAATTTAAAATTATCTGGAATCTTACCTACTACATATAATTCAGCGTATCTATGATGACATTCCCTATTTTGGTGACAACAGTATAATGCGTTATAGAAGAAACTTCCTCTAGGTTTTGTTGCTTTCAAGTTGAAAAGAGTAACTTTGCTTACACGATCATTCACAAGCGTATACTGACTTTCTGGGATTTCTTCTGCTAAATTCAGCCACCAAACAATCTTCTTGGACACTACAATCTTGGTTTTGTTTTTATAGATGCAATGAAAGGAAACGTTAGAACCAACACTGGTCAGTATCTTAGGAGGGAAGTACAGGACTTCAGCTACACAGAAGGGGAAGAAAAAGAAAAAAAAAATCCATTAAGATTAGAATCTGAATTTAAAAAAAAGCATAAAAGCATATGTCAGTAGAAAATTATTATTATTATTATCATCCAGTTGTATTTCTAAATTTCCTACTTCTTAATTACTATTAACAACTATAGGGAAATAAGCCCGTGACTGTCTCCCTCTGTAACTGATGTTTTTAAATTCTGATAAACATAATCTTTAACATCCTGAGGCAAACAGGAATTAAATGAGCAGAAAATCACTGGAGGGTACAGTGAAAGTGATACACAGCAGCACAGGGGAAACAGGGAATCATATGGGCTCCTGGAAATGAAATCTTGGGAAACTAGATTAACATTGCTGCTTTTTACTCAGGCCATTTTTTTTAAACCATCAGATCAGCCTATTTAAATACTGCAACAACCCAGAAAGTAACTTGTTTCACAGACACATACACCACAGATTTAAAATCATCATATTGTCCTCAGATAAAAGCGAGAGAAGATCCAAATAAGAGAGGAACGATATTTGGCATTGGGGAAAAAAGTAAAATCTTTCTGAGCCCTGCAAGGATGTTGGAATCATGTTAGCTGAAGCATTAGATTTTGAGAGAATTGCTATTCAGAACCGGGGGAGAGGGGACAGAAAAAAATAAATTTAAAAACAATCAAACAAAAAAGCCCCCACCAAACAACCAAAAAAAAACCCAAACAAAAAAAATGAACCCTTCCAGTAGTTACCACTCCTGCTCCTGTTGGAAGTCAGCAGGAGATTAATGTCTCAAAAACTTGTTTTACAAGCTCAGCAGTGTACTTAATACCAAATGGCAGCAGTGACACAGTCAGTAATTCACCTAGGCATAAAGACACTGGATTTGCAAAGCGTGTAAACACACATAAGCTCAGCCTCAATGAGTCAGGTCCCGAGGGAAGCTACAGGTGTTATACACCTGCTGTAAAGGAACAGTTTGCCAAAGATCAACCCAAAGCCAGCAGGAAAATCCTTAATAGGTCAGGTTTGCTTTCCATGGTTGAGGAAGCACATCAGCTATTTTCAGGATTTTTCAAAAATAATGGTTTCTCAGCTAGCAGAGGAGACTAGCAATACTGTCATCGCCAAAGACTTTAACGTTAAATAGAAATGAGAACACAAACGGGTCAGCTGTACAAAACTGTTAAGTGCCTGATGTCAGGGTTTACTCTCAGGGTGTCGATGTGTTGCCGTGAAGGCAAGGCTGCTGCTCCCCTGCTCTTCCCCCAGCTCAGCACAACACCAGCCACTGGCACAACGTGCCAGCTCGAGCTTCCCACAGAGAAGAAAGAAATTAATCCCTCTATGCTGCCATCAGGTTTGTCACAAGGGGATTTATTTGCTGATGAGATGTAGGTTTAATACAATTACACATCCTGTAACAGGCTTAATAAAAAAATAAACAACCAGTATCTATCGCACCTCTTTTACATCCAGATTTCTCAATACACTCCTAAACCCTTCCTGAAAATATGTGTATATGTGTGTGAGAGAGAACATGTGTATTTACTCCCCCAAAAAGTCTCAAAAGTTATATAGTTCTATATACATATGTACACACACACATTTTTTTAAAAAATTATATATATGTAGATATAAATCCAAGAGACTAAGGGTCAGTTAGGCCTCTAGTCTACAATATAACCAGACAACCTGTGTTTCATGCTCAATTGCCACGGGGGTCTGTGTGTTTCCAGCTTTCTCAGAAGAGAGCTCCTGCAGAGCTCACTGATGCCCTTGGTACTTGATTTAGGTACATACATTACACTTCTTAGCACACAGTAAGCAGGTGTGTGTGTAAATGCAGGAGTAAAGCTCTAGCATTGTCATGCGAGAGTTCACAGGAGGCCTGTGACAGCACAGACCAAAACACTTCCTGTTAATCATAAGCAGAACATGGAAAAATATGATGCAAAAAATCCTGAAATCTTTAGGCTGACCCAAAGCAGCTCAAAGTGAATCTGGATAATTGATAAAGGATTTGCCAGACAAAATTCCCTTCCCTTCCTACATGTCCGTGAATAGTGAGCCATATAAAACCTATCACTTTAGCAGGAGCTATGTCGGTGTAAGAGAGCTCAGTAAATCGTAAGAGCCCTTCACCCTGTCCAGGGGAGCTCTTACTGTGTGCGACACGTCAGGAACTCACCCTATTTGGGTAGTAAACTGATTACAGCATGTAAGATTATATGCTTAACACTAAAGCCACACGCTTTAAAAAAGCATTTAAAACCGACTGACTGGGGCTATTATGCAGTTTATGAACGGGGCTCAGCAGAACAATCCAAGATGGATTATGTTAAACCAACAAACCCAAAACTGTTCTGCGCTAGTTCAGCCACAAAGCCTCGTACTAAACTAAAAGTTAGAGAAAGCACTGGGAGAAAAATCTTGTATTGACTAGAGGTTAAACGCTGCCAACTGCCTTCTGATATGGAAAAACTCTTTGAAAAAGAGCTTTTTTCTGGGTCTGAACAGGTGCTTGGTGAGCAACAGGGCCAGACAAGGAGGTGTCGTGGAGCTGACTGGGCAGACTACATGCGTTAGCCCAGAACTCTTCAAATGCAAGTCCTGTACAGAGGAAAGAGCAGCATCACAGGCAAACCCATGCAGAAAGAGAAGCAGAAGGGAAAAGAACTGCCACAGGATTTTTCAGCCCAACTGATGTGTACTGTCACTCCCTGTGTAACGCATGCTCTCAAGTACTCATTCCACAAACCAAACTAGGAAATCATTCCCATTCCAAAAGACTTCTTCCTGCACATAAGCGACTGCATGTGACCCACCTCCCAAGCTGAGAGGATACGGTGTGCTCCAGTCACTCCAGAACCCTGGACCACGATGATTCCTGCACCGCACTTGAACTAAGTATGACGAATCAAACAGTGTGCTGTCTATGGCCAGGGAGGTTTCTAGCACAACGTGAACCACCTGTCAGGATTATCAGAAGCCATTATTGTTGTATAATGAAACAGGAAAAAGAAAAAGACAGAAGGAACCAAAACAGATTAGTCTAGAGAGTAGATTTTAGGTAGCAAGTTGGGTAAAAAAAAAAAAAAGCTTTTTTAAATTTACTCTAAATCTGAATATGGTAGAGGTTGCACACCTCTGTGGAAAACGTGTTATTTCATTATGGACTGCTAGTTAGCAGCTGCTTTTTATTCTAGAGCCAGTTGCATGGTAGCGACAGAAAAAGCAATTCGCTAATAAAAGCTATGAATATTAAACACATACACATGTATCATGGAACTTGGGGTTTGCTGAGAGAGCTTTGCCTTTAGACTTCATAGAATATTTGCCTTTAGATTTCACAGAATCTAGCATTTTATCCAAAAAGAATGGGGTTTGTTTGTATGGCCCAACAAAAGACAGGTCATCCACCAGCAGGCAGTGGCTCTCCCGGAGTAACAGGGGCACAGCCCAGCATGCCAGCTCCACCACACTCCACTGGCACTTGCCAGGCTCTGCTGGACACACCAGCTCTGGAGAAACCAGTGTTCCAGGCCCAGCTCCCCACACCAGCCACCAGAGCCACTGCCCAAGGACAAGGAGGGGGTAAGAAATCCTGGGCTCTGGAAGAGACCCACCGACCTCCACCGCTCAGTCATAAAACAGAGCTGACTCACCTGCCAAGCATTTTGACCTGAATTTGCAGAGATCTTCACTTCATACCGAAGTGGGTATGGCATCAGCACAGGGTCAGACCAGCAGACCTTCACTTGACCTTTCTCTGTCATTTCTAGATGCAGGTTCACAGGAGGTTCAGGCTTTACTGCAGACAAATTAATTGACAAGTTTACCACTAACTTTATTGCCCACCACTACTGGTGGTAACGGATCTTTACTGATTCAAAAGTCTCTTTCACACCTATTCTTTACACTCAGTTTCCAAGAGCTGCTCTACAGTTAGTGTATGACAGAGTAATGCTGTGTAATATCGCCAGAGAAGTGTACCCTGGCACTGTTAGTGAGTTATCAGGACATGCTGTTTGACCTAATGTTTGCTTTAAAATGACATTAATTTCTTGCCTTGGGCCATGATTCTTCCCAGCAACCAAGCACTAACTTATTTGTTTTGCTGAAAAGAGGAGTGAGAGGGATGGAAATGCTGAGCAAAGCAATTTAATGTCTCCTTAGGAGACAGGAAAATGTCCTCATATTGTACACAAAGAATTTCTAAATGCTCCCATACCCTCCACAGTTATTATGGTTATGAAAGAAGGTCTCCAAGGAGAGCTACACTAGGGCAAAGTAAAAATGGTGGGTTTCAGGAATTTCCCGCAAGGGTGAAGAGAAGTCTCTGGAGAGGGAAACGATGGGCAACAGAGTGATGATCAGGGTTACATTCACTCTTCCCTCAGACAAAGGCAAGGAACCTAGATCCGACTTTGACCTGTTCCTGAGACCTTTTCAAATCACTGTGTAAGCAGAGTGTCTGTTGGTTGACCTTGTCCTCATTCACAGCTCTGAGTTTGTCTGGAATCTCACTCAGTTTACCAAATACCTGCTATTATTTTCTGTACAAATTCACTATGCTATGTCCGATCCTATTTCAGTATTACTTACATACCATCTCAAAGCAATTAACTTAATGAAGACCAGCAGGAAGTGTTTTGGGAGGAGGCATAGCTTTTATAACAAAAGTCAGGAACTTTTACATCACACTTTCATGAATCTTACAATACAGATAATGATGTCTGTTCTACTGATGCCAGCTGTTCTACTAAGATCGTCTATAAGCAAGTGCGACTCTACATTACACAAGCATTCATCATTTTACTTTCAAAGTGATTTTTAATTGAGCTAAATCCTGGCAGAACATATACTAATATTATGCATTTTTAAAACTGACTTCACTAAGCAGAACAAACTAATTATGTCATTTTAAATACTGGCAGACACCACTCTGAATTTTTAATTTTTGCCTATAGCAGAATTTAAAAGCAGCATGATGAAAAATGCAACCTCTCATCTTCAAAACTAGTCCACATGGAGACTTTTAACTTATTCTGTCTGCAAAGCCCAGCAGTTTGGAAGAAGTTTATAAAATTTCTATTTTTTTCCCTGCAGTTGACAGAATCCCTGCCTTTTAGAAATCTGCCAAGCTCTGCAGCAACTGTGCATACTGAATAGCAAAACGTCTCAAATTCATAATGTCAGTATAGTTTGAACTTGATTAAATACAGAGGAATGTTTTCCAACTTGGAAAATGCTGGTAGTGTATGTCTAAGGAAGAAAGCATCAGGATGACAGAGCTGCTTGAGAAAAGAGATGGGTTTATTTGCTAAGTCACTTCAGGAACAGCTTTTTTTCCCCTCACTTTTTAAGCCCTCAGCAACACAGCCAGATAAACTCCACCACTGGCCCAGCCTCAGGCACAGAGAGGTGCTGATGAGAAACGGAAGCTCGGGTATGTCGACAGCCTGGGCTCTGCTCAGTATGGTTTTGTGCTAGAGCCCAGACAGGCATTAGGCAGCTAAGAAATGTGTACAGCACCACCCTGAGCAAGCGAGACAGCACCGGCGAGCCTCTTCCTGTTCTGTCTGTGCCCTCCTGCTCCAGAGGAGACATCCTGATGTTGTCCTCCAGGAAAAAAGGTTTAAAATATAGGTCATACTTACCTATGTCTATGGGTCTGACTGACATCAAAGGTGACCACAGAGGTGTCACATCAGCCATCACCTTCAGCCACAGGATGTAGGTGTAGTTGAGTCCCAGGGAAGGCACGAGGCACTCACACCCGTCATACGCCCTACAGTCGCACTCGGCAACCGTGACAGGCCCCCTCAGAGAGCTCGTGGATCCATCTCCCACTGACAGCTCTGATCTGCAAGGGAAAAAACAAACCACAGAACCAAACGAGACGGTATTTCTTTCTATATCGCAACAGAGAAGAGTTTGTCCATCTGGATAAGGTTTATTTACAAAGAGGAAAAAAAAGAAAACAGTAAAAAAGGCAGTGATTGCAACCAATTGCTTTTACTTTGCTGCTTCCCCTTTTTAATTGGTTTTCAAGTAAAGTAGTTAAGATGATTTCACTGCAAGTATTCCTAAGGTTTGACTTTAAAACAAATGTGCTACAATACTAGATGATATTAGTCAGACTAGTTTCTGATTCCTGAGGATAACTATTACTAGATACTTCTTAGGCACATGAAGTTAGTTTACCTTACGGTGGATTAACTGGCAGCTCTGCCACCCCCGTAGAGATTATGTTCTAATTCCTATTCATGAGGCACTGAAATAAAATCTAAACAATTTAACATTGCTTCCAGCTTCTGCTACAATTAAGCATTACAAGTAATATATTAATCAAAGACAATCACTCAAGTGAAAAACAAGTTTTGGAATAACTAAAAGCTAAAGAACTCGACCATTCATAACACATTTTAATACGTATTTTCAACAATTTATGGTATCTGGGAAAAAGAAAAAAAAAAAAAAAAAAAAAAAACACCTGTATTCTTCAAAAGTCTTAACACTGTGTAGTTAATTCCAAGATAAGGCTTTAATTATTTTTATGTACAGCATGTTTGTCTGTTAGATAGTCTGATGTTTCCTAGGAAAGCAAATTATTTACTCACACACATTACTACTGTTGTCTTGGACAGGCTCATGGAAAGTATTTAGTAAGTAACTCACTGATTCTGCTTTTATTGCCTCTTAGAGTAAAGCTCATGGGACTATTTTTGACTGAATGTTCAGATGTCGTTTCAAGGGGATTTTTTTTTGCCCTTTTTTTTTTGTTTTGTTTTAATTTCTTTTAACACTCCTTCCTTGAGAGTTTAACATAAACAGTTTTTGATTACAGAACCCACTGCAAAAATTGTACGGTCTAAGATAAACTTTTGAAGTTTTAAACAACTAATAGCTGCATGAGCATAATATATGTTTCATAAACAGTTTAATCAGGTTTTCTAATATGATTTCAACACATTTTAAATGAAATAAATGACAAAGCAGCATATACTGATACAAGCAGACATGCATTATGTCACTTGATGTTAGTAAACGTTTTGTAGGATACAAAAAGAACATATGCATTCATGCTGAAATACAGGCCATGACATTTAGTTTGTGTGTCTAGAACACACACAATTTTCCTTCAGTCAACTTGAAGAAGCAGCATGAAGACCACCCATACTACTGCCCATGGACACATCAGTACAACAATGCTTTTCAGGTATGTTTTACTGGCATTTTTAGAGCAAGCCTCGTGTGTATGATTACGCTTTTATACATGTTTTTAATCTCCAGTGACTTTAGACAAACGATTCTTGATTTATGAAACACAGAACACAGTGGGCACAAAGCTGCTTCTCTACTGAGAGCAATCAGCAGTTCCCCAAGTGTTCTTCATCCCCGTCTCTAGTTCACAGATATTCTCTGGGCTCTTTCAAACACAGCCACACATAATGATGTGCTGCAGGTATTCAGTGACACAGGTCTCCTTAAGGTAGTGAATGTAAGAGTGTGAATACTTTGTGGCCAAACTTCTCACAGAACCAAAGCCAAGACAAATCCTGACAGTTAAACCAGCCCAGATTCTTTCCTGCTTTTGACATTTCATCCTTACAAAAAAAAAAAAAAAAGCTTATGTTTTGGATTGTTCTGTAAGTAATTTTGGAATTATTTCTGTATAGCAAGGGTTTTATTAATTCAGAGAAATAAACTGAAGTTAATAGATTAAGAACTTTTCTGTAAAGGTTTTAAATAGTTTTACAGTTGGTATGACCCACTGTAACACTAATTCAGGGAGGGCAGAGAACTCTACATCGGAGGAGAAGAAAGGACAAAATTTTCTCCTTGTTTTGGTTTTAGCCAACTTGGTATACAGTACATTTAATGGACTGTAGAGCACGGGAGAAATGGGTGTGACTCACTGATCTGGTTACCATAATCTGCCCTACTTAGGAAAGGTCAAAAGCTGAGGAGAGGTTGGAAGCAAACAAAGGGCTGATGAGTTATGGGGAAGAACACGTGCAAATTGTGCTGACTGAGGCCGCAAGGGACCCCACAGCATAACCACGGGGATCTCCCTGGATCGTGGCCCCACTCCTCTCGTTGTTCATGGATCAACACACACACATTATACATCCACCTTGTCTTTAGGACACTCTTTGAAGCTGGTAACAAAAGGATTTTCAATAACGCTATTCCCTTGTAGCACCTGTACTCTGAAGTAATGAGCCCATAACCTACGTAGGTTCTATATGAATATATACAGATGAATATGCAGTTTAAACTTATTTTACAGTCAGTCAGTACTGACATTCCTAAAACAATTTTTACCAGGAGTCACAGACATGGGAATTATAGAACCTTATGCTGATGATATCTGGCAGACATACAGCTTTTAAATCACTTGGACTATTCTTGTTTTTACAGTTGTGGCTCCACTTCCTTCTCCTGAATTTCCTTTCAAAGACTTCACAGAATTTTCTTTTAAGTTTCCCTGCCTTCTATTGTTGCTCACAGACTTTATTAGTCTCAAAAACCCCACAATCCATCCATAAGAATGTAGTCGTCTCATCAAACAGTGTCTTTAATGTGATCTATCTGGAAAGCAGTTACTACTACACCACCCTCCCCATCTTTCTCCTAATCATTATTTCAATTTCTCCTAATAATTATTTCAATTTTTAACTGTCAAGAATTTTGAAAAAATTTCTAATTTTCAACTGCACCCAGAAGACCACTTGTGTATACAGGGAAAAAAAAATTGCTAGAGAGCTCCTGCCCATGTTGTGTTGTGCCAGTACTGTGTTTCAGAGGCCATTTATTTGGAAGTAAACAGGCACAGGTTGTTGTTTCTCCCTGCTCCCACGGCACAAGCCTTTCCATTTATTTCCTGTACAAAATGCTGCGTGTAGGACTGCAAGTGTAACTGGAGGAAACCCTGTGGCTCCACGCCAGGCAGGCCTTCCACCCCCTGTGACAGAGAATTACCAGTATTTCACATCTATGCTGCAGACATCTCTCACAGCTCCCTGCCTCTGCAGGCAACCAGGGCAGAGCAAGGGGAGAGACCAAGCTACGTTACCAGATGCCAGGTCCACTCCCAGAGGAAGATATCCAGGGACTAGGAAACAGGGTGATGAGCTCTGGATTTCACAGGGACTGGGGTAAGAGAATGCATCGATGGAGGACACAGTCAAGAGGGGCCTCCACGTCAACTTATTCCCTATTGTCAAGCCTGGGCTAAATGTATGAGAGCTAATTACAAGCAAAACAACAGAAAAGCAAAGTGTTCTGGGGAACTGCGGCAGCCTGGGATTGCACAAGCAACCGGTCATCTTCAGTTTGGCTACAGATGATCCAGTCACAGAATAACCATTGTTCCTAAACTATAGATACTGACTTTAGAGCATCTTACGCTTACAAAGCCCTCACAAGTTCAGGAGAGGTCGGTGCTTTCATTCAGTGGAAGAGGAGGATAAATTTTGGGTAAACTTAAAGCAACAGGCTATTAAAAACTGGAGTTTTCCATCACACTTGCAGCCCACTGAGAGAAGCTATAGATCCTGGTTCAACCAGCACTTTACATCACACAACAGTGATCAGATCTAAAGCCAGATCCAAGTTTTGGTGAGGCGAGGGAAAGATGGAGGGCTTATAAAATATGTGACTATACACTCTGTTCTCATTCCATTTTATAGTGCTGGCTGCTAGAATTGAAGATTTGTCTTGGCACAGAGAGGTAAGCAAAAACCAGGTAGGTACGAAGCATATGAACTTGTGTGAACAGATTACTGGAGCCCAACTCAGAGATTCAACAGAAAACTAGTGAACTGGACTTCAAGTTTTAATGGCTGGTAGGGAAGGGAGGGGCAATGTGCAAAGACAATATGACTTGAGGCTGGAAAAATGGGATTAAAGCATGAGACGCTGCAGAAGAGGAAAAAAAAAAAAATACTGCCTGCCCTGAACCACAGAAGTAACTGACACGACAACAAGGGCATGTGCCCAAGGCTGGATTTTCTTTTCCATCCAAACACCACACTTTTCAGTTGTGCACAGATAGTCCTTTTAGACCTTAACACTTCCTAAATGTTTTGTATTTTGGTGCATAATTCAACTATACTTCAGGTGTTGTTACTTATGCTAAATTAATCTGTGGCCCTGTGGTGAACTTTTAGACTTTAAATCAGACTCTGCAGAATGTCTTTACTGAATTTCAATTTCTTGCAATTGAAACGCCTAACCAAAAACCAACAGTCAAATTTGGTTTAGGAAGAAATACATGATCTTCTACAATTCCTCTGATATCAGAAGTAGCACACCATATTTAGTAGCTATTATGAGGCGTATCAGAAAGATGGGCACCATTGTAACTCTGCTTTCAATATTCCTATATCCTGTGTTTGTGCAGGTGCTCCCTTTATCGGGAATTGACAGAGCAAAGCTGTCTGGTGTTCCAAGGATTTTCAATAATTATATCTCAGTGTAGCAGTAGCTCTAGGACAGCTCACTGTATAACTGATGCACTCAGCCAAGCCACCAGTCTTGAGGCACTCTGCATGATTTATCCTTAAAAACATGGGAGCCTAGGCCCAGAACTAAAGGAGAGCCTCCCAGGGACTTCAAAGAGGTCAGAAATATGAGTACACCCTATACATCACTACCTGCTGAAAGGAGAGATTGTGTCAGTGCTCAAAATTAAACTGGGAGCATTCATCTGTGTCACTACGAAAGGAACCCTAAGGCTAAGTGATTTTAGTTAATGTAATTAACCATCAGGGTTTACAGCATCCCTATAATACATAAAACTGGAGAGATCACTGAGTTTTGGTAGGCAATTAACCTAATTTGTCTAATTAAATTTCAGAATAATCTTTCTCCTCCCAAAGTCATGCTGCTAGGGAAGGTAAAAACCCCATCACTACCCTGGCTTGAGGCTCTTACAGAATACTGTCATAGCTCTCTTTGGGATAGAACAAAACATTTTATTTTCAAAGGAACTTGGTATCAGTTACAAGCAGGCAAACTGGATGTGTCAAGTAAGAGGATACTTCTTTAATGCTGAAAAAATTAAAAGCTGTGGAGGATACAAGCTTTTTTGTTGTAGATTCTTCTAGGTCATTATTTTTGTACATTGCCTGTCCTATATGTGAGAATTCTGGCTCGATCTCCAGACTCCCAGGGAGTAACACATGCCAGGAATGCATATTTTTAAAACTGGGAATGTTTTCAAGGTATTTTGGCTCATGTGAATAAAATGTTAAGGTACCAGCAAGCCAAGAGGGAAAGCTGTCACCTTACCAAAATCTGAAATGCTTTGCTAGCTGTTCCCCCATAACATAGGGACCCTAAACGAAAAATATTAGTATGAAACCCAGGGAGTGAAACAAGTTCTCCAATGTCAGGGACTGCACTGCATCTCACCTTTACAGCAAAAAGTAATCAAATACAGAAATGCCACAAGGACTCTAGTGAGTCTATAGGGCCTGCTCTCATAAATTGCACGACACTTACTGAATTCCCTTTGTAATACAAAGAACCTCTTCATCCCAGCTGGGACTCCAATCTGTTGTTCCATGGATATTAGGCATACCAAAAAAACGCAATATAGAGATTACTGGCCTAGAATTGCTGGCAAAGATTTTTCTATTGCAGTTGAGACTGGATGGAACAAGAGGCAAAGTCAGATCTACTTCTCCCACAAACACACGTGTAATGGCACTTCAGAAATCAAACTAATGAGGAACGCTGGAAATGGGAACCCACTCAAAATCTGATTTCAGCTTTTAAGTATTACGTCAACTACACAACCATATTTATTACTAGTTAATATACTTGCTTTCTACCCTGAATGCAGGGATAATTTGTGGCAAGTGATACCTGGCTTTTTAAGCAGAAGTCATCACCTGTAAATTCAGCTAATTCAACTCTCTATGTTTAGCCTATTTCCTAAGGAAATGAAGTCTGTGCATTCACACCATTCCTCCCAATCTATCAGCAATTCAGAAAAAACAATGTGGTTTTGTCAGTGGAATCAAATAGATCTTTTTATGATCCAATCAGGCAGGTCATGTCGAGAAGCCGGGCCCACCCCCCAGTCAGGACAATTACCACTGATCACCATTCCAGAGAATATTCACCACGCTGACAACTGTCTGGGCGGGTGTCTCTCAAAGGCATCGATGTGATTCGAGCAGCACTTGGCATTGTATTAAATGCTAAGTAACATAATTACTTCTAGAGAGAGAACATTACAGTCAAAAGCATAAAAAAGGCAGAACCAAGATCACAGCTTTAAAATTAAGAAATTCTAACAGTCTGCTGGTTTTAGCTGGAGTAGAGTTAATTTTCATCATAGGAGCTACTATGGGGCTGTGGTTTGGGTTTGTGCTGGAAACAATATTGATAACTCAGGGATATTTTCCTTTACCACTGAGCCCTGCTTACACAGAGCCAAGGGCTGTTCTGCTCCCCACCCACCCCACCAGCAAGGGGGCTTGGGGGGCACAAGGAGCTGGGAGGGGACACAGCCGGCACAGCCGACCCCAACGGACCCAAGGGATGTCCCAGACCATATGGCCTCGTGCTCAGCGTATAGAGCTGGGGAAGAAGGAGAAGGGGGGGACGTTCAGAGTGAAGGTCTTTGTGTTACTAAGTCACCGTTCCGTGTGACAGAGCCCGGCTGTCCTGGGGATGTCCGGGCACCCATCTGCCATGGGAAGTGGGGAATGAATTCCTTGTTTCACTTTGCTTGTGTGCATGGTTCTTGCTGTCCCTATTCAATTGTCTTTATTACAACCCACGAGTTCTCACTTTTACTCCTTCAATTCTCTCCCCAACCCTGCCGGGGGGAGTGAGCAAGTGGCTCTGTGGGGCCTAGCTGCCAGCGGGGGTTAAACCACAACAAACAGCAAAGATATTTTAGCAGGTCAACACTGATTTCATTAAAGCATTTTAAGAAACATGGGAAGGACAGAGGAGGGGACTCTCCACTCCAACCATTTCTCTTCCAAAGACAGAAACATAAACTTTCCATACTGTCCAAGATCATTTTTAGGTAAGACAAAGGTATGTAACGTACCACCTGCTTGCAAAGCTAACGCTACCACTGTGCTGCAAGCTTGAGAGGCCAACGGTGATGTTTTAGAAAATGCTTTCAGATTGCTCATGCTAATAGTGACAAATTTAACAGAGTCTGTACTTACACAGCATATAAAAGATTAACCTTCAAGCTGGCTCTCAAGTACAACTTCAAAAACCGCAGGCTACAAACTAACAGGTCCAGCTTGCCTTTAATCCAACATTCAATGTTCCAATTTGAATCTGAACAAAAGAAAGGGATTAAACATTTGTGAACTATATTAAAACAAAAAAACCCAACTGAAGAGCCAGGATAAAATTCACTCACAAAGAGAGGACAAGTAACATATTCCTGAAGGTGAGGCTGGACCACAAGTGTGCAAATATTTACGACTAAGCCTTGCTAACTGGCTAGCAGTATATGCCCTTAAACACTCCACTGCTCGGAGACTGTGGTTTACAGGGGGAGAAAAAACAGCCTCAGAAAAGAATAATTCCACCTAATCCATGTACAGATATTTACTAAGACATCACAATTCAGGCAGAAAAGATGGCACTTGCTCTCCATCTCCCCCGCCTCCTGAAGGAGTTTAGAGCCCATATCCACAAAAGTATTTAAAATATTTCTCATAGTGTCTAAGCACCTTTGAAGATCTGGGCTTGCATCCTCATATGCAGCGCTACATATTTTATTCAGAATTCCCTTAGAAAGACAGCCAACTTTTTTTTTTTTTTTCCCCCTTTTGAAACTGTGTTATATAAATTCCTTCATCTTCCACTACAGACTTCTGTGAGGAAGGATTTTACCATACTGTGTTGTCTGCTCTGGATAAAAAAGAATACCCATTAATACAACCCACACCCCCACCTCCCAAACAACAAAAACCCCCAACCATTTCTTGAAGTAGTAGTAACTTCTTATGCCCTTAAATTGAAAACCTACCTATTTCCTGAGAAGCAGAGATACTTATTTCTGAAGGAATAAACTTCCTTGCTTGCATGCTTGCTCTGTACAAAGAACAATCAATGCTGTTATCACTCCAAAGGCAACACAGAAAACTTTCTTCATTCATTAGCGAGGGAGGCTTGGTTTCGGATGCTCCATGCTCCCTCCTCAAAGCAGACCAGCTCTCTACAACTCCAGTGGAGAAAGGACTCACAAATGTCTCATTCAGCAGCATACAAGGTAATGTAAAGTTTCTGGGAGGAATTTGATGGACCATACAGTGGGCAACTGCCATTTGAAGAAAGTCTGCAAATATCAAAGATATCACAAATAAAATAAAAAGTTCGTATTACTTGACAGTGAAAAGGGAGCGGTTGAGGTTATACAGAAACATGTTGATTACATAAAAATCGGACTATTTCCAGGGGCTATTCTCCTCTGAGTTACAAAAAAAAATTACTAACAACATCCCCTCTGAACTGGCGTCACAACTGACGATGTCAGCCTTCTCCACCAAAATCACTACACCTCACTTTCTATTTTCCTAACTTCTTGAAATTGGTCAAGACCAAGACCATAGGGGAAGCATCTCTTTGGGGTAAACTGCTTTACATTAGTTCAAAATACAGCAAATCCCAAACCTAAACTGAAACACTATAGAGGGATGAATCTCATCTCCCCCTGCAGTGCTGGGGCACTTGCAAACCAGCTCTTGCAACACAGCTCTGTTACTGTAGAAAAAATAATCCCATTGTAAATATAACACACAGTCATGCTGTAACTGTTAAATACCAAAGAATAGTATTACAAGAATATATTACTGGATGTAACCTCACAACCCCAGGGCATTATCTAGGAAATGAGATGTAGGAAAAAAAAAATCTTTTCCATCAGACTTAGATTCTTCAAAATTGTTCTGACCACATTTTCTTGGTAAATCAGCGCTTGAATTACACAAACAATGATTTGAGAACGATAAGCATGTCGGTTTTGGAAACAGCTTACTGTAAAACACCGCATGAATTTCAAAGATTAAAGCTCTAGTTACAGAAAGGCATATGGGTCATTTGTGCACTTTGCATTTAGCTTTTCGCTCACTAAGGCCATAAATATTTTAAGCAGTTCATGAGATAGAAATTAATTGGTGCTCTATGCCTTGCAACAGCCGAAGAAAACCAGAATTTCTCTAGCACTGATTAATAGAACATAAGCTAAATAATATAAAACACAAAATGCAAGCTTTTAAGGAAGTAGGGGCATGCTACCTTAAAAGCAGACACTGTGTTACTACGCAGCGTTTCATTCTCTCTTGACACAGAAGGGTCCTGCTCTTTCCTCCTCTCTCACTTAAGAGTTTGTGCCTCTCTAAATATCAGCTTCATTAGGCCTCCTGGCTGCCTGCAGAGCATTCAGTTGACCAAACAGACTCTTAGTCCATAACACATGATTTAAAAAGGACAAATAAGTGTCATGACTGCCTGTGAAGCAGGACAGACAGTTATCCTACTACCCAATTCAGGGAGTCAGCTGGAGGGTGGGAAGAGATTCCTGCCAGTCATCGCTTTTTCTAAAGCACAACTGCCCCCTCACATATCACACCAGACAACCTCAGAAGATTAATTAAATCCTATAAAGTCAAAATGTGTGCAGCTACTTACCACTTCTGCAGAAGTGTTAAAAAAAATAAAAAGAACTATAAGGCACTACAATACAAAGCATTTAGCATAGGATTGCTACAGCTCTTACCTGCCCGTTAATAAGCTACAGTATAACAGTTCTGTCCATGACACAGACTCACAGGAGGCCACCACTGAGTTCTGTCCCTCAAAGAGCAGCTTATTCCTTGTCCGGGTTAACAGGGCTACAAAGATGCCAGCCACAGCTATTTGCTTATTTGGAATCAGATGGAGATGGCCACTCAATAGATAACAGTGACCTGCAATCATTACAGGCCATCAGACAGCAGCAAACTGCTCTGAAGTCTAATGAAAACTCCCTCAGGCATCCAGGTTTTCTAATTAAAAGGTACAGAGTATATTTAGATTACACAAGGTATTTAAAAGAAGAATGTCAACAGTGCACTATTTGATATTGAGTAGATAAAGGTACATATATAGAAAGATTAAAAAATGTACATGTATACAGAAAAGATATATAAAGATGCATACATATATAGAAAAGATATAGAAATCTAATGATTTATTCATTTTTTGTGAAGATACAAGATGACACAAATTTTGAAACTACACTGGGTTACAGCATCTGCTTTCTCCCTAAGCATCATCACCAGAAGTCTTCAAGTATTTATAAATTTTTTTTTTATTTTAATCAAAAAACCAAAAGGCAAATACCAGCTGTCCCTGAACAGCATGCACCAACACTGTTACAGACATTTCCCAATTAGAAAACCAGTTTATTCTATCTGACATTTGCAGTTAATTGAGCACCCTTTAACAGCACTGTGCACACGAAAGCAGGAATGTCAGCTACCTAAAAAAGCTCAAACTCAAAATGACACCCTGGCTACGCCAAAATAAACAGAAACTTTGAAGCTCTGATGGAAGCGGGATTTTCCCTTCTGCTTTCGGACTTGTTAGGGTAACCAAACAAATCGCCCATGAACTTTTACCTTATCAATTTTTGACTGGGGCATTTATTTGAATGAATCTTGACTCATCACATACTTTCTACAGGTGTTTCCTGATCTTAAAAGCCAGCTGCACTGCTTTTGGGGACAAGACACACCGGCACAACCCTGAGAGTGTCAACATTTCAATTCCACACAATGATAACATCAGGTCCTCTGTATGTTCTAGATGCGTGTTGTGATACTAATCCAGCAGCATAACTTGACATACCACTGTAAAACAGAAATGGCGATTACTCTTCATTCTACATAATTTCCAACTTTTTTTAGTAACTTACCCAAGAGCATAAACACAGACAGGATGATTTGCCAATACATCTTTTTTTGTAGAGCTGATCTGAAAAACATATAGAAAATTAGCTGAGAGCTGACAATTGTCAGTCTATTATATCACTATGGTTTCATTTTTGTGCACTTCAGTCAATTTAATATCCACACCTTTGTAAGCAGAAAGGAAGAACAAAATCAGAACATCATTGAGAAAAAAGCATTGCTTAGAATATCAATTAAAAATCCGTACAGCTCTTCTTTCATCATTAGAGTTACCTAGTACCTCATTCCTTCAGGCTTTTGCTGATCATTGTTCACTTTCTGGGTTTGGTCATCTGAAAGGCACTATGAAGCCAAACAAAATGCCCAAAAGATACTCAATTTTTAAAGTGCAGCATACACAAAAGCACTTGGGCACCCATTTCAGCAGTGAAGACTTCACTAAACTTTACAGTAACTGCTCTTTCATTTCAGGTACTTTGTGGGTTTTTAAAATTTTCATCCCATAGTTATATAAATTCTGTTAAAACCCATATACAAGCATTTTTATACTTTTAAAAAAGCTCAGTTGAGGATATCAGAGCAAAACACACAGACTTTGGTTGCCGCTGTAGTTACTCTGATCTGAATGATTAGTAAAATACACAGCTCAAGTCAGACAGAGAATGCTGGGGCAAGAAATAAGATTTAGGGAGTCCCTCCAAAGTATTCACATTCCTTAAATATTTCTGAGAACCATTTCCTTGAGAACGTCTCTGCTGCCAAAGGAGCTGGTGCCAATGCAAGGTAATCCACTGGCCTTTCAGTCTGGGGGTGCATGTATTGTACTACTTATACATATGAGATGTACAGCCTACTGTGGTGGGACAGGCTCTGTACCAGAAGGAAAACGTTATGTGAGCACAGAAAACCAGAAGGAGAAAAAAAGGGTGACTCCTTCCTGGGTCTTACAACTCCTATCAGTGCACAACCAGGAGTCCATCCCCGTTGGTCACCCAGGGCAGCACCTCAACAAGCCCCTGCAGAGCAGAGGGTCAGTCCCACAGAGGAACCAGCAGCTGCCAACAAAACCAAAGAATCTGGTTACAATAAGGAAAGCCACCCTCTGCTCAGAGCTATCCCTCCTCTCCCTTTTGCCCTCACCACAGACTTTGATAGGATCATCCCGTGCCCCTGAGGCTGCTTTAAGCCCTGACCGTGGCAAGGCAGAGGTGATTCAACAGGCATTGCTGTTTACCTAAAGCAGAAGACAACTGACCAGTGAAGTTACAATATTTCAGTATTCTCATTTTTTTGCAAGCTCTCCCACAAGGAAAGCCCTTGCAAAATTTAGCTGGAGCTGGAGACAAGCCATTTCTTCAACACAGACCATCTTCATTTTGGTCTGCAAAATGAGTCAGTTCTATCCACTTTTCTCCCCATTCCCCTGGGATATAATGAGTATATTTTAAGCTACATTTTGAGCAGTTAAAAGAGGAAAGCTCAAAATTTCAGAGGCAGTGCTTCAGAACCCCTACTTCAGAGGAAAATTTGCCTCTCAGCACAGCTGTTAGGAGGCCAACCTTACCTGTACCTCTTCCATTAGTCCACCTCCTAATAGGTGAGCCATGAAGGCCAGAGGAATTACCTAGCTACAACCTTCTATTAAGGCTGTCATTTCAAAAATATACAGGCTGGAATTATTTCCAAAAGCCTATGACCAAAGTCACCTGTTTAGTTCCCAAGTTTCTGACTGAAGAAAGAAAATGCCCTTTTAAAATAATTTACTTGACACAAGCGTACACTATTCATACTATTAAATGTATGGTTTAATGAAAAACAGTCCATGTTCCTCTTTTAAAGGTGCAACAAAAATCTGCTGTTCATCACCCAACCACCTCCCAGTATGAAAATGGCAGAGATTAATTTCTGTGTGTTGTACAAGAAAATCAGACATATATTTCAAAAGCTTATGCAGTTATCAGTATGTCACAGAGTTATTACAAATCCTTTAAAGCTCTCACTTTCAAAACAAGTAAAAAATTTCCACCATCAAAGCTTTAAATAATCCATAAAATTATGGTCCAACCCTCGCTCTCCCATCATAGACACTGCAAGAAGCAAAAGCTGTCACCTAGATACCTCAGCCCTACTGCTCCTAGATGTTTGAAGGAAAAAAACCCACTATTTTGGTAACTAATATTCTGTTGTACTATTTCAAAGCAGAAGGTGAAACATCTCTCGTTTGTTCCTGGAAGTAAGAAGCCAAATAGGTAAACGTGGTAACAGCAAGCAGCTGTGGTAGTTTCACCCATCCAACACCTACCGTAGACGGAAAAGAAATCAAGCACAGATCCCCAGAACCACATACACCTCAAAAAGGAGAAGTTATCATTATGTAATCTACTGAAGATAAAGGCATTTTCAGGCATTTTCACTTCTCACTGCCATAAAAATGACCAGATAGAGCAATCAAAGATTCTGATATCAGCACTGATTTAACCATAATTAACAGTATTTGGGCCAAAAAGCACAACTACAATTCAGACCAGCTCGAAACATCTTCTTTTCCTACTTTTATTGCATCACTGAAAGCTGAGTTTTACAAAGGTGTTATTTTTCAGTCCTGCTTCCAACAACATTCATGAACAAAAAATAGTACTGTACATGATCAAAAAGCTGCATGTCACCAGCATTGGCTCTGTTTCTGTTCAAAGTTCAGTATCACTTGTGTAAACTTTGTGCAGGAATTGGGTAAAAAGAGATGCCCACAGATAACAAGATGAACGTACTACTGGACAGGACTACTCAGTATCTTTACTAGTGAGAATATTGGATTTACCAGAAGTCCTAACTTCACTATAAGGAAGAATACAAGTTTTACAAGAACAGTCACAGGGAACAGGAAGTTAAATAAAGGAGAATTATTAAAACTTGTAACTATAGCTCTGTCCCGGAGAGAATAAGTTAACACAGCAAGCACAAATGGTTTTATGGATGGCTGGGGAAGTATCCATACAAATGGAAGGCATCAGGGCGCATTTAAACACATTTATCGGAAGATACTGCATTCCAAAAGCACCGACTTTGCTGCTGCTACGTACCAGAAACTTTCAAATTTCAGACCTAAATAGTATGTTCCTCTCTATGCTAACCACTGTACAAAAAAAACTGCAGTAAGGAGAGTCCCTCTTGTAATAAACTACCCAATTTAAAGCAATGGCAAGCAAGGAGGACAACAATGAAAGCAAGATCATTTTTCTTTCCAGGCTGGCTGAGAAGTCACCCAATCCATTGGCATATCAGCATGGGAAACATTTTCAGCACATCCTGAAACAAGTACGGCCAGTGATCCACAGACACCTGCTCACTGGGCACAGAAAACATACTGAAAGTTTTCCTTTCCCTTCTGAAGCTGTCTTTTCCCACCGCCCCCCCCCCC